ACGGTGAACTTGCTCTAACTTTCAATATCTCAAAGCGAAGTTCTTGCTTGCCACACCAGAAAAGTCTCTAACACTAATTATGTGTAGAGACAAGTGATAACAAGCATCATGACAAGCACAAGCATTATGATAACATAACACGATAGCAAGCATTATCATAACATAGCAAGATACCCAGCATTATGATAACATGCATTTTAGTAGTATTTGATGTACCATATTTGCTGGCAAATTCTTTTACAACATCAACTCAAAATATATTGTATTTATATACAGAAAAATCACGTTTTTTCCCTATAAAATCACTTTAAAAATTACTTACAATAAAGGAATGATGTAATATACAAAAAACACAACATATGTGTAAAATATGCATATATCCTATACGAGAGTAAGTAATATTGTTAGGATATTTTATATGATTTCTCAATATGGAATCGTGGCTATGTCTATATCTATTTTTTATATCAGTCCCCTTTCATTCCCACATACAGGCGTTTGTCCCTTATAAAGAAACCTGACCGATATATAAACACCTGACCCCTACATATAGGTCCCTGCCCTTTACAAATAAACACCTGCCATTTACATATACACATCTGACCTCTATATCCAGATTCATAAAGATATCTAGACATCATATAGAGACCTTGTTCATCCATACAGAAAAATAACACAATATATATACATATCTGGCTCCATACTGACACCAAGATATGGTATTAAGGCACTTATTTGTCTATACACACCTGATACCTCCATATATACACCTGACTCCTTCTTTCAGACATAATATTCTCCTCTCTGGAAGCACATGACTCAAAATACCCACACCTGACTCTCCCATACTGGCACCTAATCACGTCTCACACATATACCCGACACCTTTTTACAAACACCTGTTAATTCATACACCTGATCCCACCATACAGATATATGACCACTCCCTACAAACACTTGGTCTAATATACAGACATCTAAACCCAAAAATCTCATAACTCTCACATATATACACATGGTCTCTGCCTTCACAAACCTGATCCCAGCACAAAATCTGGCCCAGCTCCAGCAGACACATGGCTCCGCTTTCACAGACACTTTCAGCAGACACTGGGTGACAACTGACCCAGTTACTGCAGACACTGACTGACAAATGAACCAACTCCAGCAGACACTCACAGACAATTGCTCTAGCTCGAGCAGACACTTGGCCCTCCTGTTACAAACCCCTTCAGCAGACAATCTGATACAGCTCCAACAGACACTATGATGAAGACCTCCAGCAGACACAGTGCCGAATACCTCCAGCAGACACGATGATCACCTTCAGCAGAGACACTGAATGACACCTACAGCAGAAACTGTGAACGATCCAGCCGAGACAGTGAATAACAACTCCAGCAGACCCTCTGACGACCGTCTCCAGCAGACACGATGACGAACACCTCCAGCAGACAGGGGTTATCAGCGACGCAGCCAACACTGTCAGGATATTAGATTTGCAAGTGAGGAAATTAGAGCACCCAGACCAGACTCACCCAAGCGATAACGGTGGATGGATAATATAAACTGATTAGAAGCTTTACAGAAGGATATCAATGTTTGTGTTATCTCTGGCACCCATGATAACGTTCACTGATAACGGTGCCAGAGGGAAAAACTCTGCTAATATTTTGAGTATAGATGAAATTTGTTCCTTGAAATACAGGATTTTTGGTGCTACTTAATTCGGACAGTTAAAGAAAATGGGAGCTGGTGGGGGCTTTCTGTGTTGATGTCATCAATTACTATAATTTCGTAATTATTTTTATGCGAACTTTGGATTATTTTTTTTTACTATATCTGTCTCTTTCACGGTCGTAAATTATCTCTCTATTTACCTCTTTGTTAATTCATTCATTCATTCATTTAAACCTAAATTTGTGTAACTTACTCAAATTATTTTATTCCTTCACTCATAATTGTTATAAATTGGAATAATTATCTTGTATGTTCCGTTACGAAAATGTCCTTATTCCCTAAGGTAATTATTCTCTCGTTACTTGAATAGATAATCTTTCACTTATTTTCTATTAAATTCTTTCTATCATCTTCCACAAAGCAACAATTCTGTTGGTCAGGCAGTTTCACATCCAAATTTACATCACCACACTGATCAGATTCTGATTAGTGATCAGAATCACTGATCTGATCACTGATCAGAACATCAAGCCACCACACACACACAGCTTTCACCATCAAATAACCACAACACAAATACAGTTCATTTATCTTAGTCACCGAGAATTTTGCCCTGAATTATATATCAAAAACATTTTCCTTCTGTTAATGTTTGTAATAAATTGTATACCATAATATGCTGAGCATTAGCAAATTAACTTTGTATACAAACTAACTTTGAACTTTTTTGGACAGGGCTTTCACTCGAATTCTGTGTTCCTGCTGCCCTAGACGCTGTCGGAAACGATATCAAACGCGCTGGAAAGGTGGAATAGCTCAGGTGAGTCTTCGTTAACGAGACAAAAATAGGTGAGTCTTTGTTAACGAGACAAAAATAGGTAAGTCTTTGTTAATGAGACAAGAATAGGTGAGTCTTTGTTAATAAGACAAAAATAGGTAAGTCTTTGTTAATGAGACAAGAATAGGTGAGTCTTTGTTAATAAGACAAAAATAGGTAAGTCTTTGTTAATGAGACAAAAATAGGCGAGTCTTTGTTAATAAGACAAAAATAGGTGAGTCTTTGTTAATGAGACAAAAATAGGTGAGTCTTTGTTAATGAGACAAAAAGAGGTAAGTTTTAGTTAATGAGACAAGAATAGTATGAAATGTTCTGCTTCATTTAAGATGATTTCAGTTACAAAGTGAGGAATTCAAGAGGAGAATGTTACTCAGTCAAATAGCGAGTGAAATGAATCATAAGTTCAAGTGTATTATGTGTGTGGTGGAGCCTCTTGGGATTAACAATGGAGGTTCGAGTAAGTGTCTACATGAAAGAAACTTCCTGAAAATTATGTTAACTGTGATGTTCATTTTAAACATTATTTACAAGGATAGATAATGTGTCGAGGGAGGGGTGATGTTCGTAAGAAAAACTAAACAAATATTGTATATATATATATATATATATATATATATATATATATATATATATATATATATATATATATATATATATATATATATATATATATATATATTTATTTGTCCAATATTCCCTCTGTCCCTTTTGTACTTTCTGTCTTTTCCTCAACACGTGGGTTGGACGGTAGAGCAACGGTGTCGCTTCATGCAGGTCAGGGATCAATCCCCGACCGCCCAAGTGGTTGGGCACCATTCCTTTCCCCCCGTCCCATCCCTAATCCTTATCTCTCTGCTTTACTCTCTGTCGCAACTTTAGTCTCTGTCCTAGCTTTATTCTCTGTTCCCTCTGCATTATCTGTCTCTTTCCGTACTCCCTCTTTTATCTCTTTACACGCTGTATTTTCAATTCCCTCTGTCCCATCTCCAAGATCAACAATCTCCAAGATTGACACTTGTCAATCGTGCTGTGGGACGATTGACAATCGTCGCAATCGTGGGAACAATTCTGTATCTGAAACAATTCTGATTATCGATGCCGCGAGCCGTGCCTTACAAACTATTGTTGAGGTTCATGGGCCTCGTAGCCTGGTGGATAGCGCGCAGGTCTCGTAATTCTGTGGCGCGGGTTCGATTCCCGCACGAGGCAGAAACAAATGGGCAAAGTTTCTTTCACCCTGAATGCCCCTGTTACCTAGCAGTAAATAGGTACCTGGGAGTTAGTCAGCTGTCACGGGCTGCTTCCTGGGGGTGGAGGCCTGGTCGAGGACCGGGCCGCGGGGACACTAAAAGCCCCGAAATCATCTCAAGATAACCTCAAGATAACATAAGGATAACTGTGTATAACTGCTGTGAATGGAGAAGTGTTGTAGGTAAACTTTAAATTATCTGTGCAATTGCGATAAAAATAATGTGTGGAAGTTAATTTACAGGATAAGTTAATCAGGGAAGGAAAATTGATGGTGCAATGACGAATGTGAGAAATAGATATGAACAAATCCGCAAGGGACGTGACGAGGATGACAAGACCACACACTAGAATGTGAAGGGACGACGACGTTTCGGTCCGTCCGTTTCGGTCCGATTGACAATCGTCTTGAGAATGGCCCAGGACGGACAGAAACGTCGTCGTCCCTTCACCTTCTAGTGTGTGGTCTGGTCATCATACTTTAGCCACGTTATTGTGACTCATCGCCGTGACGAAGATTCGAACCTGCGTCCGGGAGCATCCCAAACACTGCCTTAATCGACTGAGCTACGACATGGTAAAAAGAGTTGAAACCGAAGTTCTACTGAACTTACTGGATCCTGCAGCCTCTCCGAGACACAAACCAGGGTTTTACACAACTCCCCCCATGCACTCGAGCTATGTCAATAGGCCGTACTCTCAACGTACGTACAAAATTATTTGTTCACTTGATGCATCACGTTATTGTGACTTCTATGTGTAATAAATATGACCTCAAAGCTGAATTGTGTTTTGGTAATACCTTTTCTGGTGTACTCAGGTGAGGCGTTAATGTTAACTTAGTCTGGAAACCAACGAACTAAAAAAGTAGAAAGGGATAATGTGAGCAGCATATAGTGTTAGGAGAATATATAAGAATTTAAGTATAGCAAAGATAATACACAGAAGATTAGGTCACGATGCACAAGCACATGACAAGAGTTAAGTAAAGTCACTATTTAATTTTTTGATTTCCTCCTATAAACATCAATGCTTCTTTATAGCACTTTCTCTGTAACTAGCTGACATTGTAACTATAAGGTGTGAAGGATAGATGAAATTGTTTATGTAATAATCTAAGACGAGGTCTATTACATCGAATTTGGACAAAATGATGACACACGATCCCCCACGTGTCAAAGAAAACCAAATATTTGTATACAGACTTTGAACTGGTACAGTAGAAGACTCAGCCAGATATCTCTCAAGTATTTATTTTATTTATTTATTTATGCATATACAAGAATGTACATAAGGAATGTGAGGATACAAATATGGTAATTACAGTCTTGTAAAGCCACTAGCACGCGCAGCGTTTCGGGCAGAAACATCGGTATTGTGTTTCGGTATTGTGTAGACGATACGTCGTGTGGGCGATCAGTCCGTCAGCGGCTACCATTGTAGGAGGTAAGGGGGGGCCCTCGGCTCCCTCTCACTCACAAAGGAATTCATTGGCACGCTGGACAGCCCTTATACCGTGGGCAATGATAAATTGTTGCATAACAAAGGGAAATGTTCTGTGATAAACTCGAGCACGATAGCATGTCCAGAGTCTCTCCTATTTTAGAGTGATCCTCGCCCCTTAATGTCCCTATTTAATATTAGGGAGGACCTCTGTAATATTAGCGAAGAGCTTTCCTTTCAGTTATAAGATATATTGTAACAGGTTATTTCTATGCCTATTATATATATATATATATATATATATATATATATATATATATATATATATATATATATATATATATATATATATATATATATATATGTTTCATTAAATATAACTGCATATTCTGTATTATTTTCTTGTTTAGTTCTTCTATCCCTGTGACTAGTGTTCTAGCATCTTGGTTTAATTGGAAGAGGAGTTGTCGTCTCTCATTATTTAACATCATTAAATAAAACATCTAGATTGTAGAGACATAAACTCTACATATAAGGTGTAAGTTCCATGTAACTTGAATAAAAAATGAAAGAGTTAATATTACGTTTATGTTACTTAAAAACAAATAAATAGAAAATAAAGTCAAAGGTGCTGCCATCTGTGGTTGAATTTGACATCGACCAATTTCCTCCAAAATTGGCACCCTTACAGATAGACTTACGTGCAGTCAGGTGTATAAGTTTCATGCAAATCGTTTGATAAACAAATAAGAAAAAAAATCTATTTTTTTTAACTAAATTTTTTGGGGTGGATAAAAATAATAATTATTTTTGTTTTATTATCTGCTATTGTGATAGCTGAGTCATAGACATGATTTCAGTTGACACTTGTGTTTGATGTTAATTTTTGATCATTTTGGAAAATTTTGACACATAATTTAATATTTTTGTTCCTATTTTATTCAACGATGCTGAGATTTGCACCAGATGAAACCTTTTGCATATACAAATAGTAAAAAAAAGTTTGACTGAAATCGAACTAGTTTTTATTTATTGCATATTTTTGGCATATTTGGAACTGATGCCCATTAAGTTCAATAATATAATAAACGTAAATGACAAAGTTCTGAAAATTGGTCGGTCAGTTTAACTACTCGCAATGCGTAATAGCGAACAAAAATGCAGGCGAGGAGTCACAATAACGTGGCTAAAGTATGTTGACCAGACCACACACACTAGAAGGTGAAGGGACGACGACGTTTCAGTCCGTCCTGGACCATTCTCAAGTCGATTCACTCGACTTGATGAATGGTCCATTAAGAATGGATTCACGAATCGACTTGAGAATGGTCCAGGACGGACCGAAACGTCGTCGTCCCTTCACCTTCTAGTGTGTGGTCTGGTCAGCTAATAAAAATATTTGGCTGCTGCACTGAACCCCATCATGGTAAGGAAATGCCTCCAAAGCATCAATTCCTAATGCATTTTATTTGTTCGTTACTCTGCTACTGAAAAAAATGAACTCAAATGACTCTGTGAGGGTGAGAGTGTGTGAATAAGTGAGACGTGAGAAGTGAGTGTGTGAGGAAGTGAGAGTTGAGTGTGTGAGGAAGTGAGAGTTGAGTGTGTGAGGAAGGCAGTTATCTCCCTAGCTCGCCAGACCTCATTGAGACTAATTACAACGCCCACCTTAAGTACCAATAAAACATTTCAGTTTTATATTCCTAATGACAATCGCCCCATATTAACTACAACAGCTGTATTTATGGCTGTATTCTCCCCCTCGTTCCATCTGTATTAGGAATTATAATTCACTTTAGGTAAGTATTTTTGGAGTACATGTTTATTTGTTGTGACTAATAGTGAGACAACTTTTAGCTATATTTACTAGCAGTTAGTTAGAAAATATATACAAGTCTCTGTAACCTAATATATTTCATTTATCTAATATTTGATAATTCGTTTATTGAATTTGAGATCATTATAGGGCAGTGTTGGGTAATGAGTTTCTCCCATGTATTCTAATATGCTCCCATATCACCTCCTCCCATGTACTCCAATATATTCCCATGTACCCACATGTATTCCACTGCATTTCAATATACCCGACTCCCATATGCTCCCATATAACCAACTCATATTCTCCTATGTATAGCTAGTTCCCGTATACCCCATTGTATATCCATGTAACCAACTCCCACATAGTTTAATATACTCCCATGTACACTCCCACAGGAATACCATCTCACAGGATTAATACAGTAACTTGGAAGTAAAATGCAGTATACTCACAGACTAAGATGTTTTAGTGT